TCTTGTGCTTTTCAAATAAAATATCTTGTATATGTATATTTAAAAAAAAAAGGAAATAAAGTAACTTCTCGTAGATTATCCAGTTTTTATTTGAAGGCACTTTGAACATCTCATCAGTTCATTTTACAAGAGCCCTGTAGTGGTGTCAGTATGGGAAAGGAGGAGAGCTGGTAAATGGTTGGTAAATTACCAGTCATTTCTGTAGTCTGTATCCTTGTTACACGGTAAGGAACAGTAGCATGCWTTTTCTTACATAAAGATACACTCCACCTGAAACTTGTCCTAGTATTTTACAGATGCAAATTCCTGAAGTGGCTACCTCAATTTGTAAAAAAAATCTTAAGTATGGARTTTAGTATTTAGATGCCCTAAAACTGGTGTAGTTGAGTGATTCTGGTTTTCTATCTTCTCAGAGAAGAACTGGCTGTACTGTTTGGCAGATACTTAACCTCTAGAAAGGGAAACTTTGTGATGTTGGTCTAGTGTGCTGTTTTATACACACTTTTTAAAAGTGTTTTATTATAGAGCTAAGCAAACAGTCAAGAAATCATTTGCATGAAAATGGCCAGTATTTCTTGTCCCTTTTTGTGTTACAGGCTGCTGTTTGTCATCATGACCTGACTGCTTTGTTGTAGTTTTGGGCACCATTTAGGTGTTAATGGTGTTGCTCTTTATTCTTAGTMAACGGTTTTTAAGAACCAATTCCTGCAAAGGTAAGGGGTATATAGATTGAAGTCTACTAGCWAAAATGTTCTGAAGAAGAATCCTGTTAATTAAGGGAAAAAAGAAAAAAGCCACAGCACTATCTTTTGCATAGTAAAAATCTCAATGTACTAAACCATATAATGGAAAATTTTGGCTATTATCATTATTACTGAAATCCATTGTATTTTCCAGGCAACAGCCTTGAATAATCTCCAATGTAAAGTAGTCAGATTTGAATACAAAATCTAAGTTGTTACTTAGATTGTTTTAACCTATTACTTGAGAAGATATTCAAAGATACCTTATCAAAAAGAGAAATCGTTTCATTTCTGTGGCACAATCTGTTTTCTTCATTTTTAGCAATATTTTGCAAGTAGGCTGAATTTGAGGGTTGATACAGAAAAAAAAAGCTAATAATGAAAGTCCACTTCCTTACATCTCAAATCTAGTTATTTCTAATCCTAGTTACATTTCTCTGAAGTTGCATTCAGTACAGTCAGAAGCATACATGAAAGTGAAGCTATGTAAAGGAAACTTGCATTGAAGGAGAGCAAGCTGATACTCCAAGAGGTGGTATACATGATTTTGTGTAATGGTGAATAAGAGATCAGGTATAAAGTTAAACATGAGGCATTAAAATGRGGCCTGAGTTTTCTTACTTCTGTCTAACTATTGTTCATGAGATCAGTGTCAAAAAAGGGAGTGTAGTTTGAGGTATTTAAGTKCAGGTTGTCAGACATCTTAAAATCCATCAGACTTAATTTTAGGATGTTTTTAGGCTTCATGATTGAGTGAATGAGTTGCAGTAAAATGTTGGGAAGCACAAAGYGGGGGCTGTGGATTTCATGATCCTTTGAAGTCCTTGCTGTATTTGTGAAGATGAGTGGTTAGTCCTTTTCAGCAGGCTGCAGAAGCTTACATCTYCTCCTTAACTGAGCTTGAAAGGTAATATTTACCCTTTTGGTTGTAAGTATTGAGATGCTCATCCCAATGTACCAGAGTTCCTTCTTGAGCTATGTTTGTTTTGACAAAATCCTAAATGTGCTGCATGTTTGTATTTCTTACTGTTTTTTCTTTATGATCAGCATAGTGCAAGTGTTTAAAGTGGCAACCAGAAAGCTTTAAAGGAAGAGCATTGTAAGTKCAATTTCTAAAGAAACTCTCATAGTGCCTTCACCAGAAACTCAACCATAGTATTTATATTTTAAATTAAGAACTTGATAACGAAGATAGTTTATGCATGGGTGAGTTCCTTACTCTGGAATGTGCAGTATGGTTATTAATTCTAACTGGATTAACATTAATAACAGACAGGATAAGAAGTGTCCCCCAAATAGTATTTATTTCTGTATCTGAGCAGATGCCTCGGCTTAAAGGCTTGGCTCACTAATGCCAACTCTGTCTTTATAAATTACAGAGAATTAAAGATGGAGTCGATGCTGCAAGCTGAGTTTGTTTCCTTGATCCAATGCCCTGTGGTGTTAAATACMACAGGAAACCCAAACTATTGTAATAGGTGCTATAAAGAAAGCTCGGTATTAGGGTGCACTTCCATCTTCTAAGGAAATCAATACATACAAAGCAAAGAAGAAAGCATTTATTAACAAAAGTAAATTTTATCCTGATCACTGTGGAATGAATTATCTTTTTGTAATGAATCTATATCGGTGGAGACTCTGAATGCCAGGATAGAAATTAACAATCTAATGACTTTATAATTACTGGTAATAGGCCAGACAAGGACTCTTCCCTGTGTGATGTGTGCAGAAACTCACTGATTTCGAAACCAATCACATTCCACTGTTGCGSTTTTGGGCAGTTGGCTGAGAGACAGAGTTTAGCATGCTAAGTGCTTATAAATCTTAATAGTCTTTTATGGCAAGATGTGTTTTCTTCATATGCAAGCAAATGAGCTGTGTGGGGCCAGCTGGATACTTACACCTCTGCTCTTCATCATAATGTGTTACAGCAACTGCTGGGTGACTTTSTGTGTCTTGACAGAGGTGCTGAGGCTGGATGATTAGTCCACTCTTCCTTCCAAATCTGTTTTTTCAGAGCAAATTCTTGACCAGTCCATTAACTAGATGTTTCGTTACATTACACATTAACTAGAAAGCTATCAAAAGAGTAAGCTCACAGTTCTTGTAATTCTGCAAGCTCRAGAGTTCACCAAGATTTTTAAATGGTTGAAAATTTTAGGTTTCTTCTGCTTCTACAGTTAAATGTGTTTTGCCATTTTGAAATATGGAAATATTTTCTAAAAAGTAGRGTTTTCTTTTTACTTAGTAGTTTATTTAAGCTCTAATTTCCTGGTTTRCAACCATTTTCATCATGCTGAACCATTCCTCTCCTTTCTTTAATTGCTGAAAGAATGTTAATTTTTATTCTTGTAATTATTATTCTTTATTTGCATATTCTTAGTCCTCTCGGTTCAATATTTTCCTAATTAAAAAAAAAAAAAAAACCTTACAGAAAAAATTCTGGTTTTCTCTGAGTTATTTTTGTATATCTTATAACTTTTAGTTATTGAGACTTAGGACTGTTTTACCCGATGCAGATAGAATAAAACTGTCTTGAGGAAGTGACTGCTGTTGACTGGCCCATGAGGCACTTTGCATACTTACCTGAAAAAAAAAATGCTGCATTTAAAGAGAAAACTGTACTGTTGCAAAATCTGATTAGTTTGCAGTATATTCCTGTCTTTCTCATTGATATCTCAAGAAACGACAACTTTCTGTAWTCATTCTTTTCCAGTCCGCATTAGCTAATTATAGAGCTGCTGGTAAATACTTCTGGCTCTCAGAAATGGCTGAAGGAATTGCACACCAGATACATTTTAATCCCACACTGGGCAAGGTGATTGAAGACTAGAAGTAGACATACAGGTAAATGTAGTGCAAAGGGAAGAGTTAACACTTCTTGTAGAAGGAAAATCTAGTTCTTTGAAGGGGTTGTAATACACTTAMGTATAGACCTAACATGTTAAGCAGTGAAGGAATTGCATTTGAAATTATGGTCATGCACGTAGCTTGAATTACACTACATGATATCACATTGCACAATTTATTTACAATATATACTTARAGTATAATTCTTGTTTTTTCTAGTGTTAACGGATACAATGATATTTAGACAGGTAAAGAAATTACTATGTTTTAAAAGTTTCAAAAGCAGGAATGATTCTGCTTTGAATATTTCAGTAATAAAACTTCTTYGACTTGATTATCTGCAACGAACACACAGCAGTAACAGGTAAAATATTTTTAAAATAAAACCTCTTTTAACTTCTGTTTTGTATAGGTACRTTTTTCCTGCTTACTGTGAATGATCAATTAGAGTCATAGGGCACCCTGTAACTACAGGTGTTTTGGGCATTGAAGGCTTTCACTCCATGCATTGACAAAGTTCCTGAGTGCTGTACTAGGAGTGTGATGGCAGAGCTGTCAGTCTGTCTTTGCCTTCACTGATTTCAAATAATCCCTTACCTTTCTGCCCCTAGATCAGTGTGGTAAGTACTTTTGAAATGAGGACCTCTCAAACATCTGGGATCATCAATGTTTGTTTTATAGGAAGTATCTACTTGTTTTTAAACTTGTGCTGTCACATGCTACTTGGAAGTTTAAATACCTCTGCAGAAGCTGGCAGTTAGTTTCCTTAAGCAGAGAACTCCTTTCTGTATTACCCTTTGACTTTCAGGGAATTGGGGCAACTGGTTTTCTCCAAAGTATTGGAGGGGGAAAAATGACARGATACTTTAGACATTTTGGGAAAAATAAGTTAAATACTTTATGGTAATTTTTATTGCCTTCACCTGAATTTCACCTACCTAGTTGGTTCTTGTAGGCTGTAATGCATGTATATCTTGGTTAAAATTTCCCTTTTCCYAACCGAGACCAACGGTCTTCATTTCAGGTTTTGTCTTTTTTGCAAAGAATCTTTTAAWCCCTTGTAATAATTTCTTTTGGGATTTCCCTGCTCCGTGATTTTTATAGGTGTAATGACAGTAATGACAAACTTCTTTGGTACCTACTTAACTTATCTGTATGCTAGTRCATGTAGACCCATCCTGTCTGGAACATTTGCTTATGCATAATGATTATTCTGATATAATCAGACCATGATAGAAGTCTGTAAGTAAAGGACAGAARGTGAGGGAAATTCCAAAACTTTTGTGCAATGTTGAGAATCAGGGATTTCACCAGTAAAAATACATCCATCCAAAGAAGTATCAGCATTTTTGGRGCTGTCGTCAGTCTGTGTTTTGTTCAATTGTCTTACTAGTTTTTCTACCTTTTTTATCCCCCACCAGATAAAATCTGGTGACTGTMGGACTGTAATAGAGCAAAGCTACACTTGTGGTATCATTTATTGGAAGATTTGCCTACCTATCTGCAGGGATAGTTTTAGTTGTAATATTGTTTTTGCCGCAGTTTGTGTTTTGAACATCAATATTGGGGTCGTTCATGCCTGAGACAGTGGAGATCTGGTTGGCTTTGCCGAAGTTCTTAATGATGTTGATGTTGTATTTGGCAGTTTCCACAAAACTATTTTCTAGCAACCAACCGTCTGATTCACCCTCCAGATCTCCTAGCAGAAGGACATTCTTCATGGCTGTTTGTAGGTACCGGACACCAATAAGTACAGAGAGCTGTAAGAAACAGTTGGTTAAACAGATTTGAAATTGCAGCTTCAGTCCTATCACTAAGTAAGTTTCCTGACTTGTGTGTTTACAAGCCTCATAACTGAGTAAAGCAGACAGACTCTATCCTAGCAATATATCTAATCACTCTTGCAATTAATTACACTTTTTGAGAAAGAAAGCAGGGAGAGATARAATGAAGAGAAAATCAGTCTTCAGGTAACAACTCCCCTTGCTTGTTATTAGTACATAAATACTTAGAATTACTCGGGAGCCTTACAGCCTCAGAGACTGCAAGCAGTTGATGTAGAATGAATGATCAATTAATGGAACCACCAGTCACTGGGAAAGACAAAATTGGAGTATGYTAATTTCAGTGGATTTTTTTTCCACTGACCTTGATTAAATCAGTATATCTTCCAAGGATGTGTAGTCATCATATGTAAGCCATAGCTGTCCTGCATGCCAAGGCATACAAATTAAGGATGGCCTGTAGCAGAGGCTCAAATCTAAGTTTAGGGAAAAGCCCCACTTTCATAGTTCTGTTGGAATCAAGATGAGCTTGTCAATGTTTCAGGGAGCACAGAGAGCTGGCTCACTGCCTTTCACGTGCTGTCAGAGGCCTGTTATTTCTGGCACCATCACYCCACCTAGCACTGCTTGAAGGACTGTTGTGAGCTACTTTAATTACAGTGCTAATATTCATGCAGTGGAGCAATAGTCAGAAAACTAGAACATTAAAAAGTAAGAAAACTACTGGAGCCTGTGCCATTGGGGGGGGGGGTCCTTTGCTTGCAGATGACAACATCCAGAGAACTCTCTTTACAGATGTCAGCAGGATGACCTCAGTTTTGCAGGCCTGTAACTTGCTTGTGATGCGCTTATTCTGATTGCATAACCTGCAGCCCAGTGTACTTCTAAAAGGATGATATGCCCTGAATGCAAGTACTGTTTATATGGTGAAACTATATAATGTAAAAAAGGAGGCTAYAAGATACTAATAAAATGCTCAATTTTAACTACTTAACTACAAAATTACTTAATTGGATTGAAGACCTACTCATATTTTCTATATATTCTTTGTTAAGACAGAACTAAAAGAGCACTCAGACCTTTTCACCAAATTTCCTTGCAGCTGTGTCACTGCTTGTATCATCCTGTATCTTATCCCGTAAATGCATCAGGGAAGAGAATATGCTATGTTCTACTGAAAAAGCTCTATAACTGTACAGAATTATATACATAGTTTCTGATACTTTTCATCCTCAACAAGATTTGCTTCTGCTCTCTGGATTTTGGGGAAGTTGTCTCTACTAAAGGAAATCCTTCAACATTTCAGGTTTGCCTGTGGACTTTTTACTGGATGCTGAGGCACTTCTCAGGTGTTACACTATCATTTCCCATCGTAGAGACAGAAGACTGATTGATCCAATTGAGACCATGGTCATGAGACTTACCTCAAACAACCAAATAAGCAATGCTGCAATGCCAATGTATCTCATGATAGTGGTGTAGTAATCCAGCAGAGCCTCTCTACAGCCCTTCACCCAGATATTGAGCTCCTCTGTGAGRAAATCATAGTTGTAGTGAGCACTGTTGTTTGTCAGCTGGTACTGGATGCAGGGCCGTGGGGAGCTGGGGTTGCAGCAGCTGAAGGGGACTCCATCCACCAAGAACTTCCCATCAACATTGCTTTTCAGACGGCTGCAACAGGACAAAGTTTGGGCATTACAAACCTGATGTTACAGTGTCTGTGATTTTAGGAAAGGAAATAACACAACTCTGCTGCAATGCAGGCCTCTCCAACAGAACAAAAGGAAAATGAGGATATGCTTTCAACTGGAAAAGCTTACTACAGGAAAACCAAATATTTTATTTGCTGTGTTAAGTATGGTGTTGCAGAGTACCTCATGTGGTTCTTGGTTCTCTGCCACAAGACATGAGKTCAATGTTCTTGAAGATGTTGCCTTTTTAGGTATCTTGGTGCTGAAGCTATGAAAGACAGTTTTTGAACTTGTTTATCTTGATGCAATTCTAATGGAAGTTATGTCCTTGGAAATCCTGTGTTTCACTACTTCCAGATTGATTTTTCAACACAATCATTCCATGACAAAGAACCTTATACAAGAACAACTTTGCATGCTGCAGGAACCACTAGAAATTGTCTTCTGACCTTTCATCACTGTGCCCATTGCAAAGGTTGGTTCAGAACAATTTGAGACTAATTCACTAGGGAGTTTCTACTTAATGCAACTTTTAAAAATACATTTATTGCTARAAATTATTCCTTTCCCTTCTCTGTAAGATCAGGATGAAAACAAGTGGTGAAAGAGGAAAGATCAAAAGCAGTAAGAAAAACAATCATAGGATGGGAAGAGAACACAGTCTCAAATTAATCAAGGTTTTCTGGAAGTTTCTTCAAGAGAAAGATTTTTCCAGAAACTGGAGAGTATCTAAGATGTTGAGAGACACTCATACCTTGGGTAAGAAGCCTCTAAGAGTGTATTTGTTTTCATGCTCACTGCAAAAGGCTGATTTCCTCAGACAGCTCCGCAGGTGAGAACTGTGCCCTGGTTTAATCAAGTCCTGGCCCTTTACCTTTGTACGGGGGCCAGCATTCATGAAAGATAACTTTCACTTAGATATCCAACTTTCACCATTTGCCAATAGTAGATTTTTTTAATACTTTTCAAAACTTATTTATTAATGTTTGAAAATATTATTTTTCTGTTCCACTGCAGCTAATCTAAGTTAGAGGGAAGGAATTTATTACMAGAAGCTCATCAGGTAAACAGAAGAAGCAGAAACACTGTGGTCCAATTTTGTTCTGTAATTTGTGACTGAATGTAACCTTCAGATGAAACATAAGCTGCTAGGAAACTCAATATCTGTGGCAGTCCTGGGATGGCAGAATAATTGCTTTTATTTTCTTGCTGTAAGCCTACTAAATACAACCTCCTTTTTTTTCCCCCTCAATTTTTCTGTTTCCCCATCTCTTTCCCAGCCCTTGTTTCTTCTCTCTCTTTTGTTTGGGTGGTAGTGTGTTTTATTTTTAATTACCTCAGAAACATCTTCCTCAAAAATCTATCCAAGTAAGCCAGAAAGTTCATCTGCCATTTCCCACTTAGGAGTGGGATTGGCATGAATTCCTCTCCATTTTTGAGTCTAGCTCTTCAATTTGTGGCCATCATATCCCAGGTGATAGTGACAGAATGGTACTAATGCAAAAAAAGAATCAAAATAATCCACTGAAAGTGAAGTGTGTGAGCCACGCTGTGGGCATAGGCAAAACCAGGCATTGGAAAGGAAAGGAACCAGAGAAAAAACAGAAGGCTACAAGGTAGGAGGAGGAAAGAAAGCTTGCAGAGAAGACTGGCACACTGTGAAGAGCAAAATGCTCTCTATGTTTCAGGGTATCATTTAATGACCCARTATAGTACARCATCTGASATGATGGGAATACAATGTCTTAARCTTTTCTTTTGATCCCAAGCATCCMTTTACATACTTGTTTTTCTTCCTGACGTATATTATAAGGAGRAATCCCCTTTCTACTGCCAACAGTAGCAGTTTCCAGAGATGGGCTATGTCTTCCTGCCGTTGTTTCCTCTGCTAGTGGTGAATTAAACACTGATTTAATTTGCATCCTGGTGCTGTTAGAAGGGAAGACCTCAGTAACAGAGCTGGTGGAGCAAGATATTCACTGCTATTTGCTGTTGCAAATCAAAGTAGTTAAAGTATTGTAAAGCAAAAATTTGCTTTTGAGCAAAGATGATTTTCCTCTACCAAAGGATTGCACCACTGTAAACTACCTCATGTTCCTACCATTCCCATTGGCTGTATGTCTTGTGACTTKGTGGTGCTGACAATAGAACTGTAGAAGAGAGGGGAGGGAAGAGGGATACGAAGGAAGGTGAAAAGTTCAGTTTTGCAAAGCTTACATGTGAGTTCCCAGTATGTCAGATCTCACCTGCTTTGCCTCTTGATCTACAAACTACTGAGACACAGTACAAGTTGAAACCAAGAAAGATTTGATTCCTTCTCCATCCTTTCAGAATATTACCAGCTGGCCTTTGCTTCCAATGATTTCATATCAAATGTTTCACTGCCAGATTTTTGGAAATTTTGGCATCATTTGGTTCTAAAGCACCAACTTCGATTCTGGCAATCAAGATTAAATTGACGTATTTGTCCACAGCAAAAGAAATTCAGAAATTACTTTCCTCACACACATTTCACTGTCACCTACTGCCTAAATGTGACAAATTAATCGACAGGATATTCTCAAAATAATGGCAGAGCACAGGTGATCCTGCAGAAGAAAACAGAACTTAATTAAGATCCTGGGTCAAACAGTACTGTTTCTTCATGTCTCACAGAGGTAAAAGGCACTATACTTCTGACCTTACACTAAGATACTACTCTTAAGTTCCTGGGGACCATCTTTGTTTGTTGTCATGTCTCTTTTCAGTGTAGAATCAGGATTTAAAACACCTCTGGGTTAGTCTATTCTCCATGACACTTTCTAACCTCTCYTAAGAATGCTTGTATTGCTTTATTTCCACAGACAAGTGTCTTATTATATTGATGCCCTCTTGTTTGTATTCTCCGAGGTCCTGCCCTCTGGTTTATCTGCAGCTTTCTATGTATGCTTTGCTATGCTGGCAGTTTCAAGCTGTGAATCCTGTGAAATTAACGTCTTTGGCCTCCCTTCCTTTGTCTTTATTGTCACTGATTTTGAGTTCAACAAAACAGAGCATTTGGCAAATGCCAGTCAAGCTCTGTGCACTTGTTTTTCCTAGGAATACAAAGCTACTATGCTCTTGTCAGTGAAGACCTTTTTCAGCCTTAGAGGAATTATTACAATTCATACTGAAAAAGGGAAGATACATCTTTGCTTTGCTTAGCATCCCTAAAGGCTTAGCAAAAGGCAACTTTTTATTGTGCATGTATTTAGCATATTTTATGAGTAATTTGGTCATTCTACTTTTTTTTTTTTTAATTAGGATGCAAAGGACCAGAAAAAAGGCTTTCCATTCTCAAAAGAGTTTTTATCCTAGAATTTTTTGTTGTGACTGATAAATACTTACTCCAGAACTTCCTTGGAAGCCATATTCAGATAACGAGGAGATACCCACTGAATTTCAAACCAGTCTCTAAAGCCATTGTTTCCACAGCAATGAAATGCAATTTGTAACAAATCCACTGTTTTCTTTAAGAAACATCGTCCAGGTATGTCTGTGTCTTTATAGAACTTAATGGCATCCCTCAGTCCCAGATAGAGAGACTCTTCCAGCTCGTTCCTCATGGTATAGCACATGAGAGCACCCACCAAGATGCAGAAGGTAAAACAGAAGGTACATACAATGTATGGCAGCATTACTAGTTTCCATCGAGAGAACTTGTTTGCATCTGAGCAGTCATAGCAGATTTTGCCACCCAGAAAGTTGATGATACAGGCTATGACCCCCACAGAGATCAGCATATTTGGGACAGAGTTAATGTCCCCTTTTGCCATCACTTCATTGCGCTTCTTGATCTCTATCTTCAGAAAGAGGCCAAGACTGAAGAGGATGATCCCACTCACTACAGAAACCCAGTTGAGGATCCATAAGATCTGAGCCAGTTTGTCCCTCTTGGTTTTAGTGAATTTTACTTTGAGCACAGCCATAGTCAGATGCGCATTAGGAAAAGAAGCGTAGGTCAAGGGAAGCTCGTAAGCTGATTAGGAGCATGGATCCAAGGCATGCCGTAGAAATCTGAAGAAGAGAGAGAGAGATTACTGTCTCTTTGACCAGGTATTTATAGAGGCTACAAAAGAACTTCCTGTACAGCCTCACGCACTCTGAGTCCTGCCAAGGAGTGCCCCAGTGAAATTTATTGCTTAAGTTTTACAACAGTGCGAATCACTTGAATCACTTAAAAAATTCRAAGGACCAACTAGAGCAATTAAAAACAAGTGAACAGTACAAACACTGACTCTGAATTCCTATGAATATTTGCCAGGTCCAATTTTCTGTGCAAACCTTCTGATATCTGAAAGTGAACTGGTCTGCTGTCTTTCCCTTCAGAAGATTCCCAGTGTCTTTCCCTTCTGTTTGTTGCTTGTATTTTTTTTGACCACTATAAGTTTTTATTATTCTTAGATTCCTGCATTATGGTCAGATTTGTGTTCAAGAATTGAATAAACAAGACAAACATATATATAGCCTTCTACTTTTCTTTCCTCCCCAAAAACATTGTTTGTCTTGTTCCTAATCTGGCAGCTCTCATTGGAATGATTTTATACTATACAACTCAGTGTTATATAATTGTACAGTCTTTTAATTCCACTAATACAATGGCATTTGTAAACATTAAAGTGTAATCCTGTAAGTATGGGGAAATGGAGATGTATAAGCAGTGTAAGATTTTCTAAGTTAGTGGATGTTAACCTTGTATCAGCTAAAACAGCATGAAAAACACCTGCAGACAGACAAGCTGGACAGAAGTAGGGCTACACTGACCAGCTAAAGGATCCCCAGCTGCAGTGAAGCTTAACACTGGGTAAGCAGATTGTTGCAAAGTGCAGTTTGGAAAGGTAATGGTATCCCATCATCTTCATGTGTTTACGTCAGAACGAATCAATTCTATTGGTAAAGGCAAGGAATAGGTTGTTTGATTCATATTAGGATATGGTTAAATATCTTCATGCATTAAGATTTTAAGGCCTCTGAGGGCTAATTAATAATTGTTGCATATATTTTCTCCTGCATTTACAGAGAAAACTAATTCTTCTCAAAGCTTTTCAGCTCTGGATGTCTTTTGTACAATAGACAGAATAGTGTGCAAAATGCACAGTATTTTTCCTTCCCAGTCTATTTCCAAAGAGATTGAGGCTAGCAGCMCTCAAAGTTTAAAAACAGGCTCCTAATTTTAATGATTATTAAGGCTGATTTTCAGTTATGGTTGAATATTGATGGTGAGCATTTTGTGATCATCATATTGATGATAGACAGCTTACAGGGGTGTCCATAAAATAGTTGTTTATAAAGTTACAACACTTTCTTTATAAAGTTACAACACTTTCTTTATAAAGTTACAACACCGTTCTCCAGTATCCTTCAGACCTCATTTGAATGGATCGAGCTCTGCTAGTGCAGAGTTAAGCCTCCCTGCGAATTCAGCTGACAGCCTGCCTGCTAAGCCTGGACACAGTATCTTTGATTGCTCCACCAGTTAAGCAGTTCATGACTTGACCTTAAATAGCTGCTAATGATGGCTGCTTATAGATTTATTTGCCCCTGATACTCAGGTGGCAGAGCTTACAACAGAGAGAATCTGTTGTGAAATTTCCTGACTCTTGATACACAGTTCACGTTCAATGGCCAGCTCATATGAATGCATCACTTACTGTTTGTTTTGATGAAACACATGTACATATTTGAACAATATCTCTAAATTATTCATCACACATTTGGTTACTGAAAACACCCTACTTGCCAAACAATTTTGTTTTAAYATTTGAGCAAAAGCTGTAAACCTCTACTTAAAATTCATGTATTCCAGAAACATCCTTTCTTTTGGAAGATGATGTCATATCCTAGCCATAAAGAAATTAAATGTATCCCTGCTTACCAGTTGTACATCAGCTTCAAATCTCATGTAGCTATTCTGATATAACTCCATCCGCAATTTTCATATGCCTAAAGTTAAAAAAGGTAAAAAGCTGCCATGCAAGAAAAGTTTTCATAGTATTCCTTTTTTTCTGGAAGTTCTTGTGGTATTTTCAGCTTCCTTTGTGAGTTTTTAGTATTGTTGTAGGATCAGATTTCATAGAGTGTTGACATTTGTCTAACCTCACCACAGTCCTCCAGCAACATAAAATCTGTGCTTTCACAGAGTCTTAGTGCCAAAGGAAAGGGATGGAATGACTGRCAGCTGTAGTTCCATGCCCACTTGTCTGACCCTGCCTGTCACTGATATGCTTGGGATTTTTCTTTGGGAGATACTGTGCTTCTCAYGAAACCTTGAGCGCACTGAGTCTGGGACGGAAGACAAACTCTTTTGTTCCTTGTTCCTAACTTCTACATGGATACTTATCTTATGGTTTCATCTATGCTAACAGTTTACTGAATTTATTTTCAGATAATTAGACTCTCTTCACATCATAATGAATTTTGTAAATACACCATAACTTTATTCTTTCCCTAACTGTTTAATAAAATCTCAAATACATCTATTAGCGTAAGATATATTGCAACACACACAGTTTAATTTTTTGAGCACCATGAGGAAAGTTTCTCCATCTGGAAGGACTGAAGTACAATCATGAGCCAAAAGCTTTAGTCTTGCTCTGCAACTTGTGTCTGTTCTTCTACATGCCATATTTGGCAGCAGGCTACTGTAAACCACAAATGCTCCCAGCACTTCAGTGGAACCAACACCTCTATCCAAGTTCTAAGAAACCTTTGCACGTGAGCTGCTCCAGAGTTATGAATCATATACACATAAACATTTTTTTCCCCAGCTATGGGAGAGCAAACTCGATTTTATTCAATAAAGGGGGAAGTACTTTAAATAATTCCTTTCAACAAAAGAAACCAAATAAACGTGGAAATCTCTCCCAAAATACCAATACTGTTCTCAAGCTTTCCTTGTCTAATTCAAACTTATCTAAACACAGCGTCCATCACCAAACAATTTGCTTCCAGGATCGCGCCTAGCTGTTCCTTTGCTATGAAATTCCCATAACTACATTGAACAAAACATAWTTATTTATTTTTAACATTTACTTGTTAGATACAAACATTCAAAGAACTTTGGTGATTTTGTCATAAATAAACCACATCTTATCTTACTGTTGTTGCTAAAATCTACCATTTTAGCTAAATGCACATTCAGATTGGTGACATAGTAAAAGAAACCACTAACCTGCTTCAGAGGACTGAACAGGATCTTGAAACTGATAACTTGCTGACTACAAGGAAGACAATACCTGAATTCAACATCCTGARGGTGACTGAAATACTGATTTCCTGATGTCTCTGTAGCTGCGCTGTCTTCACACTGCCTCACCAATGGAGGTGGAGAAAATCACTTCAACTCTCCTGCCTGTGCTAATCTCTTTCATCTCTAATCATAGCTAAGAGATTTATTTCAAGGTTCTGATGCCACCAGATTAAGTCCTGCAAAACAGGACAATTAACTGAGAGTGAACTGAGATCTCACCATCAAAATGGTTTATAGGAGCTTCTACTTTTTTACCCTGCTGAAGATTTGGGCTAGTAAGCAACAGAGACTGTTTTTCTGTACCTGCTAATGTCTTCAATAGCTCTTAATTTGTTTTTAACAGTAAATATGCCTCCAAGGGAGAGAAGAATAATGAAACTTCATGATTCTGTGGAAAGGGAATGTCTATCTTAGGYAACTATCACTTAGGCCTACTGTTATGTTCCTTACCCATCATTACATATTTTGTTGCTTTGGATAGAATTTTCTGGATGAATTTGACTGTCCAAGAAAAAAAATCGAGAAACCAAGAGCAATGGGATCATGCTGTATGATTCACAGTAGGTTCTGTAGGGAAACTTTTCAGTTTCAAGAACGATGTAGTAGAAACCTCTGTCCTAGTCTTTTATCTAGCTCTATTCCAGGCAAAAGCAAAAGTGTAATGTCCTCGTGCATTTCTGAGCCCAGCACGTAGCAATTCGTGGGACAATGTGACTGGTTTGAACTGGCAACAGTGGTGACAACAAGCTGAGTCTGCAGCAATGCTTGATCACGTTAGAGGTGATGTCAGGACCAGAAYTGAATCCCTAGGAAGGACCAGGTTGACCCATAGGGTCCACAACTGTGATGCCTTGGCACAGCAGGGAGAGTTCAGTGGGCACATGACTGATGGCAAGGGACCCTGCACCAGGCATTGTAAATGTGTATAAATATTCTCGGAATTATAAACTATCCTCTCCCAGCTCATGATAAGCCATAAATCCTGACAYGACTGTGATTCTCCCTCTGTATTCTGGCACTACACCAGCTCTATCTTGCCTATGTCCTAATGATTCAGATTATATGTGATACGTCTGGGACCTGTAGGACCTACTGCATATGGAYCACACAAATGCTTGCATAGGATCAAATATTGAATTAACCCTGTGCACGAGTCATTCATGCTTTGGACTTGCAGCATTCATGCAGACCACAGGGAATATGTTAGATCTGCTCAAATGTACCCCTTTGTGTACACATAAACTCTCTGGAAGCATTCATCATGTTCAACAGGTATAATGTATTCCTTGGGTATTGCACAAGTACACAAATGGACACATTTTGAGCTATTGTTCTGGCTGAGATGTGATAAATCAGAAATCCTGGACTAACGGCTGAAGTGCTTTTCTATGCTTAAAAAAATTCACTCGGGAACTCTCCAGATATGCAGAGTTATCCCTGAGTGTTAGAAAATGTTAGTGCCTCAGTTACCTAGTAGTTGAAAAAAGTACCTTCCCTGTGGCTGCTTTGTAACACAAACCTCATACTTACATGCGTGAAAGCAAGCAATCAGGAGATGGCAGTGCTGCTGTATGTAGGCTTTTTCTACAGTACAGAGCAAGAAGCTTTTCTTTTTTTCATTTGTGTTAGATTAGTGGTCATTCACACAGCTAATGGAAACTCAAGAATGCCTCATTTTAAGAAATTACTTAAATCCAATCTWAATGGAATTAGAGGTCAATGCTACCTGTATTTTTTGTTCTATCCCTTATTTGGAAATGGCTTCAGCTGCAAATGTAATATTGAAAG